AATTGGGACTATGAACAATCCCGTTCGATCTCTATTAGAGCTGGAACAACATCGACAGTACACAAAGAAATGCATTGATCAATCTCTACTTATGTACACTTTGTTTGTAATATTACTTCGTTAGTGGTGCATCGACGACTCGTCGATAACACGTCTGACACAGTAATGCAGTTTAGAACCGACGTCAGTTTTGCTTCGTGTTTCTTACTTTTCGGCCCAGCTCATTTTAGAGAGTGTCAAAAATTACAGACCGGTTTTAGGGCCGCGAGGTCTCATAAGGCTGCCACTCTTTAGTAATCTCTCCTCAGTAGTATTTATACCTCTGAACGGGATTGAAAGGAGTTTAAACCACCGATCGTTGTATCAGAGTCGAGTGTGTGGTGATCGCGAACGATGCGACGGTAAAGGGCGGCTCGTACTATCCCATCACGATAAAAAAACACTTGAGAGCCCAGGAAATCGCAGAGGAGAACCACTTACCGTGTATATACTTGGTAGACAGCGGCGGGGCAAATTTGTCGCGACAGGTCGAGGTTTTCCCGGACAAAATGAATTTCGGTAGAAGCTTTTACAATCAGGCGATTCTCAGTTCGAAAGGGATCGCACAGATCGCAGTAGTCATGGGCAGTTGCACGGCAGGTTCGATTTATCATTGATTCGCACCACTGTTACCCCTTTCCGCATGTTTGCGACGCCTGTTAGATTGATTTACGCAGGAGGCGCGTACGTACCGGCGATGGCCGATGAGAACGTGATCGTCGGTAATCAAGGCACGATTTTTTTGGCCGGCCCACCTCTGGTAAAAGCCGCCACTGGGGAAGAAGTGACCGCCGAAGAGTTGGGTGGTGCTACCCTTCACTGCAGGTAGTGATTGTAACAATAGAATCTTCTTGTCGTCACTGATTGTGAGCTCTTTATGACCTCGTCGTATATCTTGACACGCCTCTGTTTCGTAACTAAGATCGTAGACCCTGAATTTCAGGACGTCCGGGGTTACCGATCATTACGCCAAGAACGACGCCCACGCTTTGTACCTGACACGCCAAATCGTTAGGGACTTGAACCGACAAAGACCGATGGACGTGAACATAGACAAAGAGATAGAAGTCCCTGTACACGCGGTGGACGAGATCTACGGCATAGTAGGTACCAACTTGAAGCGACCGTACGACGTCCGGGAGGTGATCGCAAGGATCGTCGACGGGTCCAGGTTTCGCGAGTTCAAAGCGCAGTACGGGGAGACGTTAGTCACGGGGTTCGCGAGGATCTGCGGGTATCCCGTGGGAATCCTCGGGAATAATGGGGTGCTGTTCTCGCAGAGCGCGTTAAAGGGTACGCATTTTGTGCAGCTCTGCGCTCGACGAAGGATACCCCTAATTTTCTTACAGAACATTACAGGTACGATCGGCTCGTTGAATGAAATTACAGCGTTCGCGCGGTCAGGCTTGACAATTGTGAAACTGCAGGGTTCATGGTCGGGAAGAACGCGGAGGCCGGGGGAATCGCGAAGGACGGAGCAAAACTGGTGAACGCGGTCGCTTGCGCCAGGGTACCGAAGATCACCGTGATCATCGGTGGATCGTACGGCGCAGGGAACTTCGGTACGTTCGACCGACCGTGGGTCTTTACGCAAAATGAAATATTAGAAATGAATTATCATTTACATGTTGCGATCTACTGACTCTGAACGCAGGTATGTGCGGGCGTTCTTATTCACCACGGTTTCTCTATCGCTGGCCAAACTCCAAACTGGCGGTAATGGGAGGAGAACAAGCTGCAGGTGTGCTGGTTCAAATCACGAAAGATAAACGTAAACGTGATGGGAAAGAGGTACGTATTGCAATTACTTTCACGCGAATTCGTATCGATCTTGTTGATTTTAATAGTTCACCGCGGAAGAGGAGGAGGAAATGAAGAAACCGTTGATAGAACAGATCGAGAAGGAGAGCAGTCCATATTACTGCAGTGCTAGGTATCCGACTAAATTTATTTGTGGGAGAGGGGATCGTTTAAATATCTTTTTTTAGGCTCTTTGACGATGGAGTGATCGATCCCATTGATACGAGACTGGTGCTTGGACTGAGTTTATCAGCGGCGTTGAACGCGCCAATCCCGGAAAGCAAGTTCGGCATTTTCCGAACGTAAAACTGTGTTCAATGCAACCGGTAACCTGCATGTATGAAAGTATCTGGCTCTCTTGTGTTTGATATTAATTTTTAAGCGAAAGGTGTATATTTTTTATATGGCGTTGTCACGTGTACATGATTGCTAGACATTCCAAATACACAATGCATATTTTTTACGTTTCTACGCGTGTTCTTTATTAACCTTGCCTCCTTCCTCGTTCAGAAAATAGGGGACACATCCGCGGAGCACGGAGGCGGAGTAATGAGCGTGTCCTCTCGCTTCATTAAGAGTTATTTTACACTCGCGCGTTCCGTTATAACTACAATATGTTTGAGATTATGAGCAGCGATTAATTACCTCGTAACTTGCGTCAAAGTCGCACAGCGTTGTTGCGTCTCCGTGAAGCGACTAGGTCCTCGACGTTCTCCGCTCGCAAAGGCCGATTTTCCGCATGTGCATTAGCTGTGTCACATCGTACAATTGCGATTAAACGTGAAAATTCGACGGTCGCAGAACGGAGAAACTTGCGGCGAGCTAATTAAACTGAAAGTATCAAAGCTGACGCTTCCGGTTATTGCCGTCGTCGCAGGACAATTCGATTCGATATCACACGACGTGGACGCACAGAATAGTTCCTCGAAGAGGAAGAATTCTGTCGACATCCGGTCCTCAAGCTTCCTATTTACATTAAATGGGCCTCTGATCGAAACCTATAAGAGTTTACAAAAACAGAGGAGAACGAGAACGAACGGCAAAGCTACTGTTCTACACGGCGAGTCGCTCGTCTCCGTTTCGGTGAGCTTGTACTTGAACTGTTCCTTGACCTCTTGCGCTATGAAGGCCTTCTCCTCTGTTCTGATCGTCGTGGGGGAGGGTTGCTCTCGCACTTCTTCGGCGATCACCGCCCTGGCTTTCGTCCTGTTCTTTCCTCTTCTGATGTACAACTCCGACAGAGCTACACGATTCAATTCTCGTTAGATGAACTTTAATTGGTTTACCCTCATTCATATATTTTACCTTTGTCGACCACTGCGTCTTCTTCAAAGTCGACCTTGATCAACGCGGACATGGTCACCTCGAAGAGCTTGTTCTTGTCGCTGTTCGAGACGTCGATGGCTCTCCTCTTCCTACCGAATCCTACCTGGCCGTTGCTGCACTCGATCTGTAACGCGAACCATTGAACTAGCCTCGAGGGGAATCGAACCGAGTTCGGATCGAGCGTGAATGGACGTACCCCTTGGCACTTGTCCAGGCAGACGTTAACGGTACCGCGAAACTGAACGTAAGTGCTTTCCGGGAACTTGAACGCTCGGAACTTCGCCGTCAGGAAATCCCCGTCGACGGTGTTGAAGTTCTCGAACAGGTACGGGTCCACGGAACAGCTGATCGAAAGGATTGCCGGTGGCGTTAGATTTGGTATCGGTACGAGGCAACGAGTTCAATTACCCATTGATAATGATCGTCTCTTCCTGCGACTTGGTGTCCGTGACCAACATGTAAGTGACCAGCAATCCGTAAACCGGCGCCGAGCCGTTGTCCAGGAAGATCTCCATCTGCAGCGGCGTCCCCGGGCTGACGTTCAGCTCACCGGTGACGAGGTTTCCACCCTGTCTCACCCCGACTCCTAATATCGGTACCGGTGCCGATTCCGATATCTCGCCCCTGATGTCGATCACGCTGTTGCAGGAAGTTCAGGAATTCGTCGAATCATTTACTATATTTTATCCTGACGGAAACGATTCAGGTACAAAGTGTGAAAGGAAATTGGAAGCGAGAACGTCGGGTGAACGACACTCGGCGGCATGGAATCGGTGGATCACGATGATCGACCGGTGGACAGTCGAGGCGAATTAACCCGTTTACGGCGAGGAACACGGAAGAGTGTTAACGAACCGTGGTCGCGACCTGGGCTACTTTCGATAGTCATCGAATCGGCGACCTGAATCGCATCAAGCGTTTCTCCTTCTGCCGACTCATTCGCCGTTTCCGTGAAACAGGCGGCACGAACCGCGAACGGTACCATGGGACGATGATGAAGCCGGCAAAAAGTAGAGGACGACGGCAATAAAGTGTCCGTTTGCCAGACACGAGGAGAATTTTTTTTCTTTTCTTTTTTCGTCTTTACCGTGGATCGAATGGATGTAAATGGGCAGAGTTATCCGAAGAATTTTCCGTTGTTCGAATCGCGATGAACGTATCCAATCGAACGGTTGCATGCAATTCCGTCGACTTCGTGGAAGCAGAAACAGTTATCAAGATCGAGCGAAAGAATTTTCCCGTGGTGCGTACGCCGGTAGATAATTCAACAATAAACATTTTACGGCTTCCTGGTCGCGACATTAGAAGAACCCGCGAGGCACGATCGATTACTGCCAATAAATTAGCGCTGGGGAACAGGACCGGGAGAAGAAAAATTTGCAGGATTTGTCAAGCGAGAGTGTAGCAGGTACGCGAGGTTGGGAAGAATGTCGCGAAGCAACTTTCGTCGACGGGAAACAGGAAGAGGATCCTGACAGTCGTCTCGTCTGCCTTCGTGGCTAAAATTACGCCACAGGTTTCCTACGAGCAGGAACACCGTCCCTCACGCGAGCGTCGTAATTTCGTTTCGAGATTCTACTGACGGAAAAAACGAAAGCGAGAAAGTCTGAACGAGGTTTAGAAACGAAATGCGCGAGTCGTTAGCGTCTGTTAAAGCGACGTTTACATGTCCCGGGCAAACAGAAAGATGGTCGCGCGCCAGCTGAGGACGCCTCGCTTCGAATACGAATGACTCGTTGAGTCTCGTCGAAGGGAAAAATGTGCGATGGCTCTGTCGAGTTAAAATTGCGTTACGAGCTCTCCGGCGCTCATACGAATCAATGGACGCCTATTACGGTCGTTTAGCAAGTCTCTATTTATATTCCACTTTGATTAATCAATTCTGCCAGGTGCGATTAGTCGATAAGAACCAGGAGTGAACGTCCTGTTCGACCAGGCACAATCTTATTTCACTGCGATCTTGCTCAGGAAAGTTTCATGCTTCTGACTCATTCGAGTGGTTCGCGTAACCACTGGTCATAGATGGATGAAAGTTTCAAGGATAATTCTAGCTATTAGCGTTACTTGTCGAACTCGCTACCTGCTTCCTATTACATCTAGAGCTGGAAACATTTACGCGTAAGCTTCTTTCTTTATTAATCTCGATCGTTACCATGCAAAATGCAAACAAGATAAAACTTAAAGAATTCCGGTGATCGAGTTAAGGACGGAGCTATTAACGACGGAGAATGAACGTTGGGATGAAAAGGGATGAGCAACTCACTCGGGCTCTTGAAAACCAGCCGGGAGCACGCTGCGTCGAACCGCGGTGTGATTGGCCGCGATCGAGATTCCAGGTTTCACAACGACCTCGGTGATAACGCACTTGACGGTGAACGTGTGTTTGCTGGAGTCCGCGGGCTCCTCCACTATTATCCGATGAAAGTACACCTTCTGACCCTGCGTGTATCATTACCCTCGGTATAATTTCACGAATCCGCGGGATCCCGGAACTCGGTACCGGCCGGAAACAATGAGACCGACTTCATCGCCCGGCTCCGTGATTTATTCCCTCGATCCTTTTGTCCGACACGAATCGATTTCAGACCGGACAAAGCGTTCGATCACTGATAGGCTGAATTACTGTTCGTTTCACTCGAAATTCTACGAAATCGTCTGTACACGTTGGCTCTCTCCTTCAGAGATTCCTGATAGGAAATTGAACGCAAATACCCGCCGCGGTATCGCCGGATGCGGATTAATCGGCTTCCTCCTTTCGTTCTGATAGATAACTTATTACAGAAGCTGCAAAAGGGTACCTGAGGACGGGGATCGGTTCTCGATTAGGAAGCAGATCGAACGGTGCATAAATCACAGAGCGCGTCGGCCAGCGGAATTACTCGATCATTTTAATTATGAATTCGCAGTTTTATCGAGGATAATCACGCCCCTACCGTGAGTTTGTTAACGACCCTCGTGATACCGCATCGCAGCATGTCCTGTTCGAGGAGCGGTAATCGGAACGTGGCGACGCCGTTGCTCAGCTTAGGCTTGCAAGCCTCGTCTGCAACAGAGTGCCTCGATTTTCATTTCGTCCGCTTCCTCGTTTCTCTACGTTCACCCGTTACCTGGGAAATCCTTCATCTGTTGCAGGTATATCCTCGCCTGCGGGCTGCTCCTCACGATGTCCACCTCCATCCATTGTTCCGAACATCTCACCTTGCTCTGAACTGCAACAAACCGCGGACATTTTAAACGGAATCTTGAAAAAATAAAGAGCGAACCGTCTGGCGGTAGAGGAGCGAGGAAAAAAAAAGGGGACGCGGCGAACTAACTTGCAGTATACTACGGTAATTGCCCCATAAAGTCGTAAACGTGCCGACCTTGAGTAAGAAGCGAACGGAGAAGAGAACTCGCGCTGATCTACGGTCCCACTAGGACCCTGTTTATTCGCGGAACCCGATGATAGATACTTTCACCGTTCGCGGTGCACCGAAACCGCCGGTATCGCGTTATCGCGATGCATCCGAAAGATTCCGAGATACTTCTGCCGGTTAATCGTTCCAATTAAAATCCTCGAACACCGCAAAACACAAAATAATCGAAACAACTATGTCCCTCGGTGTAATTAAATTTTCCTCTCTACACGAATTTCGAGTCAGAAATAATCGATCGAGTCCCTCGGTCGTTAAACCGTTATCGGTAATTATGTTTTGACTGGCAGATTCGCGGACGAGAAATTAAAAACTGATAATTGAGACAGCCAGCCGACTGACGAGCCGTGGCGAACGATTTTATCCACCAGTCGTGAAACAATATTGTGGATACATCGTTTGATATATGACCAGGCGTCGCTGATCCGGGGAACAAGCGCGATATTCTCCGCGGGACGTAGCGCACGCGGTTCGCCCAGCTACGTAATAATTCACGGTGAAGTATCATCGTCACGCGTGCAACACGCCGTTAAAGAACGTTCTCCCCGAACGACATGGACGCAGCCGAGAAAAGTCTAACCTCGAGATCACTGGATAACGCTGACACGGATCGACGACGCGTACCTGCGTTCTACTGTCTATCGAGCATCTGTACACTCCATGCGACGTAACATCGATCGTCGTATCGATCACGATATGAAATATTGCGTTCGTTTCGATCGTTCCAACGATCTTCCTCTACGAGAATGACTCGGATCGGATCTCGAGCGGCGCCCGACGATCCCTTCCTGCACCTCGGTGTGGTCTCACCTTTGATCGTGACAGGGCAGAACGATGAAACGCGTTCACGGTTTCCGCGCGTCCATCAGGGCGCGATTAACGCGCGAATTACGTGACTGCACGGTGTGTGTCACTTTCAAATAAGCTCCGGGGCTGGCGGCCTTTTCCATTAGCCACCACGAAGCGAACCACCTGCAGCCGCGAGCAACCATCTCTCGAACAGAGGTCCGTGACCTTAAACTTCTTCTTCCTTTTCTTCCTCTCTCGTTCCATCTACCCCACCCATCCTTTTTTTTCATTTTCGACGTCCGCCGTTTTTGCGCCGCTGTTCTCTTCTTTTGCTCCGCTCCTCCTTCGATTCCCGACCGCCGCCGTGCCGAGAATCGTTTCTTTTCGTGTCGCCTCCTCGTTCCTCTTTCGTTAGATCTCATGTACGCTTCTCGATCCAATCGAGATGGAACAGTTAAACTTTAAATACGAAACGGTTAAAATTTAATATCTCGTTTCGATTCACTCCGGACGCGAACGTTCGGCATTGTCTCAGTAATTTATGCAAAGGATGGAGGCTCCGTTTTCATTAACCTGACCGTTTCGTACGAACGCCGGCGGGTTCTTCGTTCCGCGAACCGCTCCCGAGAGGGACTCGCGTGACCCTTGCACCTTTCTTCTTTATTATTCTCGCCGTAGTTCCCGATCCCTTCCTGCCGTGCTCTCTTCCGCCATTAAAATCACCGGCGAGAAGCACGCATCTCGCTACCCGAGAATTCCTATCGCCTTTGCGTTTCGTTTGGCCAGATCAAGATGTCAGATTGTTTGAGAAGATGACCCCGCGACTTCGCTATTATTTACTCCCTCGCACGCAAAAATCTTGCCCCGACAACCGCTATTACAACTCACAAATCTCAAGAGGAGATCTCTCGGTTTCAAAGAGTCTACAGAGCAAATTTATCGTCGTCGATACAAATTCTACACTTTTAATTAATTTTTACTTTATTCAAATTTCTACGGTATTCCCTAGGTTTAGGTTTTCCTCTTCCGGCTTCTGTCTCCGTCTCTCCGTCTCGTGCTTCCGCCGACTGTTTCGGAGAAAATTACCAAGGAACAAGGAGGGAATTGATGTAAATCACGGCAACACAGCAACGTTGGAATTACAATAATTTGAGACGATTACTGGTAGGGTGTTAAGAGGAAAGCGAAAGAGCGTAATTACGCGTCATCGCGGTGGGTAACATGCATCTTCCTTCCGAAAGATCAAGGACGACGACGTTAATAATAATCGATGACAAACTTCGTTCGAATGCTTTCGAATGGGAAAAATTTACCGCGTGAATTTCTCGATAACGAACGGTGCGTCTGACCCTATTTTCCCGGTAAGGGAAGGGTGGAAACCCAGTGCTACGTGACCAGCATTCGACACGACTTAACTGTACAGTCGACCATTAGAAAAGTCGACTAAAAAATTCTCTTATTTACAATATCGTAAGTCATTTCACCGAGAAATTATAAATAGGAAGAAACGCGTCGGTTCCTATTCACGCCGGCGTGCATACTGGGAAATATATGCGATCTGGCAATTACGCACAAGCCGATAAACGGGAACGGTTCGAGCAGGAAGCTCGAACATACGTTCGTAGGCGTGTCAGCGCGTGTGTTATCCCTTTTTGTCTGGTTGTGGAGTAACTCGCGTGAGAAATCGATCGCACCTTGCAATTAGAAACTTTGTGGAATAAGAGATACGCGCCGACGAGAATTTACCCGGCGAATCAATCGGTTCGGTGAAATCGGTTCAGTGGAATAATAATGATAATCGTCTTCTAATGATCCCAGCAGCTGCGGCGAACAGCAGGGATGCGCCACTCCCCGTGGATCCCAACAGTGATCGAGAAATCGCGCTGGGACATCATTTTTTACAAGCTGGATATATTATTTACACAGGACTCCCAGCGTGGTTGAGGGAATTAAAAAATGCGAGAGCGTAATAGTTACACGGAACGTAAACGACGTAAATTTTTAACGAAGAACCAGCGATATTAATTGGAATAATTTCCTAGTCGGTCGAACGAGGCAGCATCTCCAGTTATGCAAATAGATTGTACAAACGGTCTCGCGCTAATTCAAACGTCTGTACACAGTTGCGTAACTGAATTACTCGTCGGCTCGGTCATTTTCTGACAATGCTGCGCTCATTACATCCCGCTGGCTGTCGCCAGCAACTGCCAATTCCACTTTTCTGGGATCAGCCATTGTACCGTGATTGCATACGCGTAGCATCTGTTCCCGAGGAAACTGTTGCGAAGATTGCGCACGTGGAGTCGATTCGAAAGCGTGTGCGTAACAGGATCGAAAGTTCGTAATCGATGCGAGGCAGGTTGAGAGTGATAAAAGAGGAGCGGACTCGGTAACGGTGATTTCATTCCGGTTCCTTTACGCAGGCCAACAACGACTGGCGAGCAGTAAATCACTGGTCATCGTCGATCATTAGATAGTTGATAGATCCTCGATCGGATAGCGAAACGAGATAAGCTCGGTTTTTCTTCACGGATTCAAATGAGTTCAACGACGTACCGTCTTAAAAATAGTCGGAGGCATCTCGCGGCGAGATTTATGGGGAACAAAGGGAGGTTTTGTGGCTAAATTGAAGAATCGTGCAGAGAACGAATGTACAATGCGACAATGTACAATGTGGAACGGCCGGGGACACTGTCGCTTATAATCGATTGTGCGGAAGCGATCGGCTCGTGCGTCGCATACCGAAACGAGAACAACACGAACCACAGAAATCCTAAGAAAATTGTGTCTCTGGAATACAACCGAGCCTCTTATCGAGATCCTCGCTGCCCGCGTGGGGTACATCCTCTTTTCAGTTCTTATTGGAAGAGGGGAAGAGAATTCCAAAAGGTCGTCGGTTCTCTTTTACGATTCGAAGAAAATAATTGTTGGTGGATCCAAATGACAACGGCGGTCGCAAGGGTCGCCAACTAGTCACGACGCGCAAGGTGCATCGCGCCAAATGCAGAATGAATAATTTATCACGGTGTCCCTGCACGAATTATGCGCGTACCCGCGAATCACCGTTATGCACGTTTTCGGTAATCAACAGAAACGATTAAAGTACCGGCGATTATTTAAACAATTTTACGCCTCCAATCGCTCGACCGTGAAACCGTTCGCACGCGTCGTTTACCGCATTTTTCTCGATCCGAAACGGTTGTTCGCAGGTCCGAAGATATTTTAAAGACTGATAGGAAATCGAACGAAGAACGATCTGTCGCGAATCACGTATCTCTGCCGCGATAAGAATAATCCTTCGTCGTTCCACTTCGATTACGCGTCGACTGTCATCGTCGAGACATCGAATCGGGCTCGAATCCATCTCCGGGCGACTTCCGGCACGCATTATTATCCTGACTGTGGCGCGGAATACATTTTCCGGAGGATACTCGCGCGCTTATCTGATCACCGGATTTAATTGTTTCCTCGGGTTCGTCCTTTTTCTCGTTGATTCCACGACGCCTCCCACAGTTTCTCGACCGTTCAAGTTGTTCGAACAGATTCTCCGATCTTTATACGATAGATACGACCACTCCGTTTCGTTTAGATTTCGAGCGCAATTATCGCCGGGCAAAATTTACTGCCCTCATGACATGATCATCGGATTCCCGTGTAAGCACGAACAAAGACGCGCTTGCCCAGGACCACTTTTTAATCTTTACAAATACTCGGTTGTAAGCTGGAAGCTCAACCGCGAGCATCCCTCCAGCGTGCGATCTCTCGCTGGGAGAATGGTCAGGCGTCACGCTCGCCAATCCGGTTAATTGCCAGCAATAAATTCGTTCGGACTTCTCGCCGATATCGAAACACGCCGGGAATTTTACTCTCGATCAGTCGGTTCGTGTATTGTTCCACCGACGAGCATAACGCGGCCCATTAACCCCGTGTTATAATTGTTCCCTATTAACTCTATTGCCAGGTGGTTCAGATGGTTTTCTTAATCGTCCGTTTCATGCCTGTTGACTCATTTGCATCTTCTTCATCGAACCACTTATACGGGATGAATCGACGAATCGTATGGAAAATTGTATCCAATCTTTACAACGATTGTTGTATGAAATTGTTACAAATAGGTTTCACAGAGAGCCACAAATCTGGCGAGTCAGTTCGAGCAACTTTTGAAACCGATCTCCCGGAAGCGACTGTCAATTTATTGCCGCGTGGATTTCCCCCAACGGTTTCGCTATCTTTCATATACATATGGAGAATCAATTTCTATCGAACCAGGAAGAGAGATCGTCGCGCGGGAATGAATCGCGAAATAGAATTCCACCCGTTGCTCGGGGCCAGATTGCTCAATGGGAGCCGTCTTTGTTAATGAATTACGAATGACTCGCGACTTTCTGGGAATTGCGGGACCATCGAAAAGCGAACCGCCGCCGAGTGATTAACGACTGTGCTGGGTCCACCGCACCGGTCGCAAACGAAGCTGAGCGTCACCGCTACTCTCGACGCGAAAATGATCGGTCGTGTCGTGAGGAGCCGAGCCGGAGATCTGGTAATAGGACGTACGACGATAATCGCGGTTAAAGTGGCAACGATCCTAGCGAGGATCCAGGAAAAACCTGGCGAGTTTGATTACACACCGGCCTCTTGAAAATTGCTACTTCGTACGCGAACCTGGAATACCGTTCCGCGCGCGCGTAGATCCGGTGGGTGGATGCGTCTTAACCGTCGCAAAACGTTCCCAATGAAACGACGACGCGATAAAACGTAATACAGGTAGGAAAATTTGAATTTGGTTCGACGATGAGTCACGAGAGATCGAAGATCGCAGGAAACGCGTGTTGGCCAAAGGCGGGTCCGCATTCTCTATACGCGTCAATCGTCGTGTTCGTCGCAAGAAGGCGTTCAGCGCCTAAAACGGAGACGAGGTACCGGTGGGCGATTTTTACGGCGAGCCTCTCTTCTTCTCTTACATGTACGGCGATCGGTCGAACGTCGCCGGGAGGAATTCGCCCGTGGGTGCTGCTTGCTGCTCCCGTCTATTCTTCTTCGTCTCTCTTTCTCGCCGTTTTTCTCTTTACACGCACAAGCACGCGTGCCCACGCAGGGCCACGGTGACACGACACGCGTGCACACACCACGGTCCGAGTGGTTCGACCGGTATCCGCCATATTTGGCTGCGGTGAACTATACAGAGATGCAGAAACCCACGGGGAAGAGGTCACCAATGCTATCGGCGTTATGGCTAATGTTTTACCCGGGATAGCTACATGAATTAGACAGCGAGATTCGATGCAAAGCGCGTATTACGACGTTTTATGGGACCGAAAGGAATTCTTGGTGAACTTCATGTTTTAGGTAGACGATCGAGAAGTCCTGTTTTAACAGAGGGGAAAGATCGGACACTTTCTAAGTACGTGGCAATTACTGCAAAACAACCGAATCGGAATAATCGACTGTTTTTGCAGCTCTCTTAGAACGCGAAGGTCGCTGGACGAACGTAGAACTGGGATTTAACGACTGGGTTTTAGTGGAAAAACTGTTCGCACGGTGAATAACGTTTACGAGGGGGGAAATAATGTAGTCAGCGTGGCATACAATAAAGAAACGACCAAGAATGAACGGCACGTTTCTTCCATCAAGCATTTGTGCATCGTCGACGTTCAAGGAAGACCGTGTCAGAGATCACGGTCCTTCTATGATAGCCAGGGACGATGCGATAAGTACGTATACATAAGTACGTGAATATCGAACTACCGAGAAGAAGTCGAGTAAAAAAGCGGACTCGCAGCTTCGGACGATACGATCTCGATTAATAAATGGACTCTAAAAGCTAATAATTGTACTCAGCGTTCACGATCGGCCCTTAATCAGTTTTTCACAAATCAGTCGAGGGGTAGAGTTATTAATCTCGCGTAACTCGCGTCGCTTAATAGGAGCTATTAGTCCGGCAGGAGACGATCGAGTGATCGATCGACCGACATCTAGGTCCCTTATAAGGAGATCCAGAGAACGGCCGATCCGAGATCGTGGAACTTTCAAAGCTGGATCGCCCAGCATTTTGAGTACGTCCGCCCTTTTTTTCACGGGCGCGGCTATTTTCTCCCTCGCGCGTTTTTTCGGAATCGCGTATTCTCGGTTGCGGGTGGTCTCCCCGGTAAAAATCGATGAAAAATCGATCGGCCGGGTTTGCTGAAAACCGGAGTGCCTCCTCTTTTTTAATCCTTTCCCTCCGATGTCCAACGTCCGAGCAGATTGGCAACCGGTTTTCCTATGGCTTCTCCCGACCGATTCCTCACTCCCACTTCTCCCACCCTCCCGCATTCCCCGCGATTCCTCCTCCGCCCCTTCAGGGCCGTCTACTCCCTTTCTTTCTTTCTTTATCTTTCACCTCGCCGTTTACCTTTCGGAAGAGAAACGTTTGTCACGCCGGATGTTACGCGAATGTTCTCCGAGGCGATTCCTGGAGACAAAGCGCTGCGCCGCTTCGCGCAAACACTCGCACCCACCCGCGCTCACTTTTTTCCGTGAACGCTTTGCATAGAGGCGAGCGGTCGCGCAATTAAACGAGCGACCTCGGCTCTGTCGCTACGTACGCTCTTCGCGAATCGCGATTCCGATCGACCCCTGTAGTCATTCCTAACCACGTGTTTCGAGCCGATCACGAAACGCCCCGGCCATGTCTCGAAACCGCGACGATTATTAGTTCCAACCACTGCGGCCTGCCTGCCTACTTTATTTCAAACCGACTCGCATTTTCATTTCATGGAAATAGATACTGAACTGAACGATCCCCATTAGCCGCCTCTTATTTACGACGAGCAGGAATTGCTGTGAGCATATTCTCGCCTCGACTCACAGGAGAGCTAAATTAAATCTCGACGTTGAAGAATTTCCGTGCTCCCAACGAGAATCACTGTTCCAAGGAAGATGAAATACGGAACAACGAGAAAGCGATCTAGTTGGACAGAGTTTCACCTTCTCTTTCCACGATTCTCCCAGCCACGTGCTGCGAATCCTCGAAAGCCAGTCGACGTCGCCTCTGGCCGTCGCTAAAGACGCGTTTAATTTGCAAGAGAAGAGTTGAACGACCCGCAGACCGACGATCCTCTGTCGGAATTTCGAAAAGGATTCCGAAACCGGAAACGAGGAGTCCTTATGATTCCAACCGTGGAAAATCACTTTCCTCCTCGCGTTCCCTTTCTTTCACGCGACGTTCTCACCGTGGATATCGGACGATCAATTTGATCGACTCGCGGGCGAGTATTAGAGGCGACAGAAATAGAAGGAAATCGATTTTAAAATTACCCGAAGTATTAACTCTAAGAAACGGTTTAGAGAATCGTTCGATTATACAAGAACCTTGGATCCAACCTTATTTTTAGTTCCAATGGTTTTGAAGTACACTTTCATCTGAAGATATCAGCAAATTTTTTAAGACGACGTTCCAAAGATTTCAATTTTAATGAGTTTTGATGTAAAAAGATTATTGGAACTGTAGTTACAGCGTTGAACTGGGACTTGTATTGGTACGTCTATCTCCTTTTTTCAAACGGAGCCGGGAGTTACTTTCGCCGGGTGTTTCCGCGGTAGCCAGGTGAGTAACGAGCGCGGAATAGAGAGATATAGGGAGAGATTACGTGATTCATCGGGCAACATCATTGTTCGCGTTGGATCCGCGCGAAAGAGATTATTATTAACATTCTTGCGTAATTCCGCTTGCGAATGTCGACTCGCGCGCAATGTGCGTGTGCCAGTTCTTCACGCGTCGCGAATTCATCATCCTTTAACGCGTGAATCCTTCGGAGTCTAAGAATAGAATGAACGCTTCGCGTAACGTTTCCGTCAACCTTATGAAACGGTGCTACAATAATGATCTTAATCGCCGCCGGCGAGAACTGCGAACCGTTCCCTGAGACCGGGAGAGACGCGCGAGGTCCACTCGAGGTCGACACGACGATCGAGAGATCGTCGGCCTTGAGCCACGTGATCGGTTTAGCGAGAAATGAAAATTCAGGACACGGTTTTCCGGAGAGTAGAGGCTCATCTAAGCATTGCTCACCGTTCGCTTTCGCGGCGCCGAGGACACATATCCAGCAGAGAAGCAGCAGCCGCCGGTATCCAGGCCCCATTTCCATTCGTCTCGATCCGAATTCCGAAATTGGGAAAAGGGGAAGGAAAATCGGGGACGAAGGAAGGTGGGAGAGAGGTGTCGTAGGTTCAACCGTGGAAAAGTCTCATTTAGTCGGATTCCCTCGCTCCCCTCGAGGATTATCGCTTGCTAGATCACTATCCCAGGAAATTTCACGCGCGGTGGTCCCGAAGGAAACTCCTTCGACTCTGGGAAGAAGGAGAGTACGTCGTCGGCGGTGAGGACGCGACGCGAACGGAGCCGAGAGCTGTTTCCTGTGCGAGAACGCGAGAGACACTGACGGGCCCGGCCACTGGCGGGAGAGTTCGAACCTGACGCCGACACGTACTTACATCGGGCCCGGAGACCGGACGTCGACGCGGAACGGGGCATCATCATCTTTTTAACGGCGCGCACGTGAGATCCGTCCTACGGTGTACAGTACGTCTGTTCGAAAGCAGCGCTGAGCGTAAAAAATACATCGAATAAACACGTTGTATAAGAACCGTAATCTGAATTCATTTGATCCTTTTCTACGCGTATGGAATTCAACGAACAGAGATCATACGGTAAATGAAAGCTGCTGATTTTATATGGAGAATTTCGTAACAGTCGGTCAACGTAGACTGGCACGGTTTCACTCTAATTGCTTTGTGGATCGACGGGAATGGCCTTGCAGTGGACAATCCTCGCTCCACCCACATGAACTGGATATTTCAATTCCGTATTTGCGTCGGTCGCTAGGTCGTGCCTTTTCAAGATCTCTTTGCGAAGTTGACGTAGGCGTGCCAGAGCCAAGCTGGACCATACGTGGATCCACAATGACTCACTACCCAAAGCAGACTATGCAAATGCGTTCGAAGAACTGGCCTGTTTACCGCGTTACATCTTCCCATGAGAATTCATCCTCGCCCCTATTTATAACCGGCTTCTCCCATAGATCCGCGGACCGGTATAAGCAATTGGAAATCGATACGCGAGAGAAGCAGATCTATGATTTATCCGCGAACGGATGGCCGACTGATCGATAATTAATTATCGTCGAGGAACGAGTCTCGGGTCAACGAAACCGAGCCGATGGAGGCCGGAGGAGGGCGGGAGGGTACTCGCATAAATTTGTTCGGGCAAAACAGCCTTGGGGCCTTATGGTACGACCGAGGCCAGACGAACGGATGTCTGCGAGTCTGACGCCGCTTCGTGGATACTCGTGCACGCTCGACTACGATCGTGTAGCATATGCAAGAGTCAACTGGGGCCCGGTGAAAGTGTCCAAGGATTTCGTAACGAAGCAACGTTACCCACGATTGCGATTACGGTTAGCGACGAGAAATCGTTTGGTCCCCCGGTTGGTAACGACCGGCTCGGTTCGATGCTAATTGGACGTCTAACAAAAATTCGATAATTAAAGCGATCGCACGATGGGCTCGCAACCGTTTCCGGTTAACATGCCGTCTTATCTCGCGTTAGAATCGCGAATAATAAGATTTAACGACTCTGTTTAAAGGGACGGGACAGAGGAGCGCGTCTAGGCTTCTGTTGCCCCATTCGATTTTATTATTCTCGAGTACGTACGAGACGTGTTTACCAAGAGCCAACTCGATCTTCAAGTCCCGTTACCGAAAATTCATTGAAACATCCTCTTGAGTCGAACAATTAGAATTGGGATGGAAATGTGTCACGTTCTACGGGTGACGCTATTAATCTTCTCGGCGGATCGGTTCTGCGGAAGCAACGACTTCCACGGGACACGGGTCGGCTCATTAGAAAGCCCTCTTCCTCCGGGATAACCGTGGATGCTAATTATAAAGCTGAGAATAATGAAATCATCTTAGCAGTAGCGCGAGCCAACTTCCTTGAGAACTTTTTCGCGAGGAGAAACGCGTTTATTAACGGCGGGACACGGGGAAGGGAGGAGGTATTAAATCTCGTGGGATTAACCACTAAGTTATTAAGACAAATTGTCCGGTAATCGTCCCCACGCCTAATCGCGAATCGTTTCGACGCTTCGATCCTGTCGATCGACCGTCTCCCGTGATGCCTCTCGGGGAGAAACTGTTCACTCGTAGGGCAACGGGTTTGGTAATATATTTAACAAAAATAAATACACGACGTTCAACGTAGTGATGGAACATATGGTCATATCTTATTGGAATAAATTAATTTTACGTTTATCCGACGAATTTGATCTTGTTCACGTGCCCACGGACGATGTTTAGAGACGATCTATGTACAGTCATTGTAGCGATTAGAATCGCTCGATCCTCTTCAGTCACGCTAGAACACCGAGGGACACGGCGATTACGATCAGGAACGCGTCCACCGTGTTCAACTTCGACGACGAATCCAACGCGTGCTGCGCCAAAATTTTGCACTGCGAGCTTCGGAAGTGTTTCACGTTCCCCTCTGAATCCCTGGCGAGCACGCAGAGCTCGTATTTCGTCCCAGAATCCTGTAGTTCCGGAATCCTGAAGGACCTCTCGCTGTAAACCAGATCTTTCTCTAACGTCGTCTTGCTGCTGCCAGACTCGCGGACCACCACGTAAAAATCGCCAATGTCCTCTCGAGACGTCACGTACCACGTCGCCTTCCAGCTTTTATCTTCCTCGTTACTGGAAAAATTCATTAAGATTAAGATAGAATTTCGTAATCGTTCGGAGGATCTAGGATCAAAATACGTACTAGTCAACGTTTCGATATTTTACATCGGGCGTGATGCCGAATTCTGGATGTTCGCTCTCTTCCCTCTCCCCGCAGCCCATCAGATCCTCCGTGACTTCCGACAAACGTTTAGCAGAAACAAAACGAGGACTTTCGCAGCTAACGTTCGTCCATTCCTTTGGTATCTCGGTAAAAGTACTCAACCATCTTTTCAAGGGTCGCACGTAGCAATCACAGTGCAGTGGGTTTCCTACGGATTTCATAACATTCGATCACGAGTCCCCGAATCGATGAACCCTCTTCTCCGTACCTTGATACCGAAGCTCGGTGCCGTTCTCTATTATCTTCATGAACGCATCGGCGAACACACCAACCGTGTTCGACTCTACGTCGAGAATCTTCAAATTTCGCAGTGGCAGGATCTTCTTCAAAGGCACGTGCGTCAGCCGATTGTGACTCAGATATAAATTAGTCAAATTGGCAGGCGGGTCGAAGACATTTGGCTCGGAGAGATCGTCGATCTCGTTGTACGAAAGATCCAGCGTTTGTAACGCGGTCAAGTTGCCGATCACATCTAAATCATCCATAAAAGAATACGAATCGTGATTGAATCATGGATGAATCTTACAGAAGAATCGGACATGCACTTTCGCTGTCTAAATTCTTTGGGCTACACTCACATTTTCGAATCTCGTTGATATTATTGTGACTGATGTTCAAGTACTGAATCTTCTTCGCTCCTGCAGTCAACTCGTGCGTCAAAACGGGCATGGTATTATACGAGAGGTCGATCTCTTTCAATCTATAAGGGATCCATGGATCGTTTGGAAACGTTCTCTGTGTGACGAATGAAATTTTGTTGTGACTGAGATTTATTCTCTCCAGGGATAGACAATCGTCCAGCAGACCGTGAGTCTTGTTGTCCAGCCTTTCCAATTCATTTCGGGACAGGTCTAAGGTTCTTAAAGACACGAGACCCTGGAACGCTCCGTTCGGAATATGCGTCAATTTATTGTTCGTCAAATTCAACGTCAATAGTTGTAACAATCCTTCGAAGGCACGAGTGCTCACGTTTCGTATCTGATTGTTTGCTAGATTCAACTCGAACACTATGGGAAGACGTCCGAACGCCGACTTTCCTAATTCGGTCAACTGATTATCCTGGAATCATCGTTCGATTCGAGCATCATGAATCACGCTTAAGCGCGCCGAAATTTTTACCTGTAGGAGAAGATACTGCAAACTGGTCAAAGTGCTGAGCGCCTCCCAAGGCGGTCTCGTGATATTGTTCGAGCGGAGGTTCAGAGTCCTCAAGGTCAACAGGTTTTCGAAGCTCCCATATTTGAGGTTGTCGGCCAGCCTGTTGCCCGAAAAATCTAGCGAGAGGAGAGCGTTCATCGATGGCCAAACGTCCATCGTCGGTATCTCCTCTAGCCAGTTTTCGGAAAAGTCGAGATTACCAAGGGAAATCGGTAGCTGGAAGATCTTTGTCAGTCGATTGTTCCTCACCGTCAAACTCCTAAGCATTCGTTTAAGTATTTTATCTCCCGTACATATTTTTTTATTAGAAATTCTTAGGAAATATGATTCACCTGCAACTCGCTAGCCTGGTTAAACTGCTGCGCGCAACGTCGTTCAACTGATTATGACTCAGGTCCAACTCTAGCAACGTGGGCAGCGGACCGAAGGTAGACGGTTTTATTTTCTCCAGAGAGTTGTGCGACAGATTTAAGAAACGTAGACTGAACAGCGTTTGGAAGATCGCGTTGTGGATCTCGGACAGATTGTTATGCGATAGATCGATCGTGTGCAATTCGTATAACTTTGGAAACGTTTGACGGGGGACGGAGTGCAGTAGATTGTGAGAGACGTTGAGGACTTTGAGACCAGTCATATTGTGCAACGGTACCTGCAATTGTTAATTGGAATACGACGTTCTTAGAGATATGAGAATTCTCCGTGGACCGTCAACGATACCTGAGTGAGGGCAGTGAACTGATTGTAACTCAGTTGCAGTTCGGTGGCATACGTGTTGGCATCGAACGAGTATTTAGAAATGTTCTCCAGCTTGTTGTGACTCAAATCCAAGACGGTCAGATTCACGCAATTCTCGAACGCACCTGGTTCGATTTTCGAGATCTCGTTATGAGACAAATTCACCTTTGCCAAGTATAGATCCTTGAACGACAGCTTCTCCACGACCGATACGAAATTCTCGGAGACATCCAGGAGCTGACAAAACGAGCAGCGAATAGATAAATGAATTTCCGTTTGATTGAAAGTTCTCATCGCACCTCTGCGAACTGCAGCTGATTGAACATCTGGAAATCGATCTTCCTGATAAAGTTCCTAGCTAAATCTATGGTTCCTATCCTGGTGACAGGACCGAAGGTTCCTCTGCCAACGTCGTCGATCTGGTTATCGCTCAAGAACAACCTCACCAAGAAACGCATACCGCGGAACGTGTTCGAATCGAGTTTCCTGATCTTATTGTGGTTCAGGTTCAACACTTTCAGCAGCGAATTTCTCGCGAAGGTTCCTCTATCGAAAATTTTCCGAATGAATCCCGGTACTCGATCGTCTCTTCGATTTTTCTTCTTACCTCTTCAAATCCGCGATGGCGTTGTGAGACAAATTGCACCAGCCCATCTTGGTCAGATCGGCCAGATGCGAGCCGTCGAGATTGCGTATCAAATTATGAGACAGATCCAGATATTCAGTGTCTCGTAAACCTTTGAATTGGTTCCTCTTCAACTCTTTGATCTCGTTGTCGTGGAGATCCAATCTCTTCAGCTTTTTCAAAGGCGTCAGGGCTTCGACCGGCAGCGAAGCCAACGTGCCTGTCGAACATGAATATCAGAGACACTTTCTATCGATCGTTGCAATTTCCTCGACCGATCAATACCGTTACTAATCTCCAGCCGCTCGATTTTCGCAGCCGCGGCACTCTCGGCGAAACTGTTCGCTGGTAAGACCGAGATCCGATGCCCCGCGATGCTGAGGATGCTCAGATTTCCCAGAATCTGTAGAGCCTCGCGAGGGAACTTCTCCAGGACGCTGTTCGTCACGTAAAGCTCCTGCAGAGTTCTGTTCACGCCGAGAAAACTGTGCTCCTCGATCAATCTCAACGGGGTGTCGACGAACTTGAGCACTCGCACGTCCAGCGGGTAGAGCGCCGGCCCATAAAAACGGACTTCGAACACAAAACCCATTCTTATTCGTGCGATCTCAATGAAACGACGGCGGAAATCGATCGAGGAAACTTACCTACGTTGCATTTGTACAAAACGAGTTCCTCAATGGGCACGCCTTCGTTTCCCAAATTCGAAAACGCCAGACTGAGGCTGGCGAGGTTCGTGTTCTCGCAGCGAATGTACAATCCCCTGTCACTTCCTCGTACACAGACGCAAGGGTAGATGAACTTAGGCTCCCGGGGACACCTGAACCTCGGCCCCGGGGGCACGTAGCCGGCGATGATCACCGCCGGCAGGAGCAGGGCCCACAATAATGGGAAGACTGTCATCTGCGTAAAATGAAACGCGTTAAATCCCGATAGGAATCTAGCCCGGTCGTAACGGATTACTCGAACGACTCTTAATCATCGTTAGTCACCGGTCCTGGCGTAATCGCGAAACGTGAGAAAGTTTTCCACGCGTTACGATCGACTCGCAGATATCACGCGTCGGCGAATCAAAATTTCTGATCACGTTATGCCCACGCTTTCCACTTTTCCTTCATTTTCAAAACCCAAATGACGCATCGCCTCTGGAAACTTCCTCATTCGCATCGGACTCGTTAATTCGCATAATGTTTCGTTGGAAACAAACAGAGCAATTAAGCAAGTAATAGAATACTTTTTAGGCGGTTGACACTATTTAGTTTCGAGGTCAAGAGGTGGCCACGTTTAATTCCTTGGCGCAACTAATTCGCTCGCGGATCTACGGGGAACAGGTTGAGCAGAAACAAAGAGAAGTCATAAAGAGACGAATGACCTCGTTGTTGCTACTTCCTTGCAGCCTAACGTCTAAGGAATTGCGTGCGAGCACTGTTATCCGTCTATCTATATTTATATTTTAAACAACCTCTCGGATCGGTTCGCGGTGGATAATCACGTTAATTAAACTTTTCACCGGCGATCGCGGCTAATTGAATCTTTCGGATCGTTCGGCGAACTATGGGAAAAACATAGCAGCGTCGCGTCGTCGTCGCCTCGCGTCGTTGCATTCTACGACGGAAAGTGAAACGACGCTCCGTGATGCGCGAATGCAAATACTTTCCTTCGAATCGACGAGATCCGAGGTAGAGGAAGCTCGCGTGTTACCATCAATTTATGCCGGGCAACGCGAAACTAGTAACCAGATTTTTAACCAGCCACTTTCCAAACAAGTTTTACAGACAGATCCGAGTAATCGACTAAAATCTGTTACGATTCTACATTTGCCGTGTTGCAACGATCTCGTCTAATAATCGGAGATAATGATCCTCGTTCTCGCGAACTGAGAGCCAAGATAGCATCGGTGGCTGAGATAGTTTAATTGCGTTACGAGACGAGCAGAAGCGAAACGATCTGGAAATTAGGCCTTCGATTAACCGTTAGAACGTGGGCCGGCTCGTTTACCGTAAAGACGACACACGGAGGAAAGCGTCGGCGTTTTATCTTTTTTTCTTCTCTAGTTTTCATCCGAAGCGCGATCATCGAGGTCGATGAATTTGAATAGAAAAATCGAACGGCGAGGCCCACTGACCTGAGAAGCCGCGGTTTATTACGGTTCCAGTAATCTAGTAATTCAGCCAGCGAGAAGGTATAAAAAGAAAACACGCTAGCTGATCTAGTTTCGCTGGTTTTATGCAACCAATGGAACATAATACCTTCCGTGGCTGCGTTCACCATAAATAAACTCTGGGAATCCTATTTTTGTTTAACGCGATTGCCAAATCGAGGCCCTGCCAAATCTATCGTCGAGCTATGACCGAATGTTTAGCCAAGAAATCGCGCAGGACGAAAACAGTAAAGCCTTTCACTTGTTTCGATTCGACCTTATGCAGTTACGATCCAGTGAACCGAGTCGCTTGCAAGCTCGTATTAAAAAAGTCTCGGTTGCACCGGTTCTGCTGACGTAATCTCGACACTTGATATTTGACGGGCCCGGCGTTTAAGTCAAGATCCGAAGTTCATTTCGCAATCTCTACACGGACCGTACCGTTAATTACAATTTTAATCCATGTTAGAAAATAAGCGAGTGCTCGTCACTCGGATTTTCCGATGGGAAGTAAAAACGATGAGCAGAGGTATTGAACGAGAGCGAGGCGTCAAAGGAAACGTCTAATTGAGAAAGCTCGTGAGAATGAAAATAATTGATGCGCGGAGGAAAACACAATAAACGTCGCTCTACTTTCCAAGTCCAATTAATACCATGACGATTTTACGACGAGGGAAAGCTTCTGAGCGTTTGAATTAAACGGCGAGTCAAAGTTTCTATTTCGATTTGTTTTCGACGGGAATTTTTGCTCCTTTTCTCGCGCCAAGGATACTATCGACACCAGCCGTCCTTGCGGCCGCAGCCGCGTCACGAAAAAATCTTTCTTGAAACTCGATACGAATTGAACAGACGGTATCAATAGACGAATACAGCGTGAAGATTTCATGTCAGTCTGCTGCTGATCAAGCCGAGGAGGATGGATGACAGGCAATTAAACTAGCAATTATACAGTCGTTAAAGAGAAATGATTACAGATGACAGAGGTGCGCGCGTGTAACAGCCGGCAACGCGTGTCTCTCGATGCGCGCATTCAAATCACTGATTTCGAGATCAGATGAGGCGCGAGCGCACGTGGACCCACGCGAAATTCCAATGCATTTCCATTTCAATTTCAGTTTTTGCAATCACATAATACAACGTAAAATTTCCGATAAGTCACGATTCGAAAGACACGAAAGTGTACGTGCGTTTCCCATAGTTAATCGATTTCATTAATTCCTATTGTCCGAAGAACGATTTTTTTAAGAGAGATCAAGTACCTTGTTTATCGCACTTGGCCCAAAAAGCATCGATGACAGTCGGTTTTGGGACTCGCTCATCCGTTCGTTCACATTCCTATGCGCCGCGGACTTTCCGAAATGATTTGACAGACAGAGAGCGAGAGAAAGATGTAAGAGGGAAGAGAATTCACGTGAACGTTTTACCAGATCTTCGAGACATTCTGTCGAGAATGGTTCCTGGATGAGGCTACGGTGAAAACTGAGCGGATAGCTCGGGCTGGTAAAGAGAAAGGCGGTCGAAGAAGCGAGCTGCCTCCGTCATTGGCAGTTGATACCCGCTGTCCTTTCGTAGACACGCGGTTCTTTAACGCTAAACCGTGACGTTACCGTCGTGCTCGATTGGTTCACTGCCCGTTCCCAGGACCGTAGCAGAGCTGGTCCTCTCTCAATTTCGGAATTCGCTTCAAATCGAATTTTTCCTTCTCTCGTCGTCTTAAACTTCGGAGAGATCGCTGATATTATTTTACGACAGCGATCTACTTCAAAAACGATTTATTGACGTCATTGTAAAGTTGTTTGTATCGAGAAACGTCGGATGAAAGTAAAGTCGAAGCAGCTCGCTTCTCCGCAACCGAAGCTGGTGAAAGGCACTTGAATCATGGTCTTCAGGCTTGTTAACCATACCAGTGACATCTCTTGGTACGTAATAATATTCGTGTACTGTTAATCGATATTATCGTTTAAATAACTTATCACAGTCTGGCTACACGATAGACCTGTCAATCGATCTTTTTATCTTCTATTGTAATACAGTTTGCGCGGAATGTCAACGTTTCTTAATAATCTTTATCTTAAGAAATTGCTCCCAATTTGCTCCCTCAGAATCTAAATTTGCTCCCATCGTAAATATTATATTTAATGAGATATTTGTAAATAAAAAAGCAAAAATTTGTTATCTGCGAAAAATGGTCTCTTTACACAAATATTATGATACCAAGAAAACGGCTAGCGATCAGTCTTATAAGATCCAAATGAAAATTTCGGAAAAATAGAAATTTCTTTTCCCGAAATTTTGAAAAATGTTACAAATAAAAGTTGCCTGCAATAAAAGTGCTATTACGTGGAAAAAAGGTCGTATACAATTTCTTTCTATCTCGAATACTTCAGGACTGATCAATTAATTATATCGTTCATCGCCAGTGGAATTAGAATCTCCTTATCTTAAATTGTCTGCTGATATATGAAATTCTGATTAATAAATGAATGAAAACGAATATTGGCATTTTTATTCCACGATTCTTGACCAAATGTAATTGAAAGCAGCGTCCACACGTTTTACCGGCACGGTAAGTTCAAAATGCATATCTTTTTCAAATTTCTGATGTTTCGAGCAACTGAAGATTTACAAAATAATAACCGGACATCCCGATTAAGGATCGTTCAAGCCACAACGGGAAACAGGCTGTACGGTTTTAACTGGAATTACGCGCTCATTATGGTCGATGAATTTCCCCGAACAACGTGGTTCAAGAACCCGGAGTATGTCAGTGAAGACAGCTACCGCAGCGACCGAGTATCAAATTCAAGCGCCGAGCAGTGTTCTTTCAAACGGTTCTAAAATCATGTGCAAATTTCTATTACAGTGTCTTTTAATGACCCGTGAGTGATGCCGAGTCATTCGAAATTTATTTAATGAACGCAACCATAGAATTTTCTCTTCTTTATAGGAGTCTTACACTCAGTGATCGGTTTACCTACTCAGGGTTACATCGTAAGTTCTTCGGTTCATCTTCGAAACTGAATTCGTGCAAATGAAGGATTCGTTCTCGTTCAATAGGATCGGTACCGATTGGAAACTTACGAGAGTTCATCCGGAGAACTGAACGACACTAATCTCTTCGACGATCTGACTTTCCGATTCACCTGCGAGGGAAAGCCGATCGGTCTATACGCAGATCCGAATTTCGATTGCCGAATATTTCACGCCTGCGACGATTCGGGAAAAGGTTTCCCTATCATTTGCCCCAACGGCACTCTGTTCGATCAACGAGGACGGATCTGCACCGACGAGGAGATCGACTGCGAACACGCGAACGAGTGGTACTGTAATTTGCAATATCTACTGTTCCGCTTAATCGTCTCCGACGACTTTTATTCTCAGGTTTTATTTAAACGAGCTACCCTTGTCCGTGGAGGAAGAAGATGCTACGGAAGCAGGAGTCGAGCAAAGAGAAATCCCGTCGGTGCTGCCTCTCAATAATTAATCTACATTTTAGTAATA